ATTGGACCGCTATCATAAATGTTTTTACGTCATTACTTTCTAAAAATAGTTTTAAATTGACTTTTCAAAGAGATTGACATACGTACTAAGTACTAGTTTACCTAATTTAATACTATCCATTATGCTATAAAAAGGCTTCTTAATGTCATAGTTAGCTTTTTCTGTAGAGTAATCATTTATTGTGGTTAGACATAGCAGTAATACCAATAGTGTTTATTGAACTTGACTGTACTCAGGCTGGGTCACCAGCTCAGAATTACAATACAATTATTCGTTTTATGATCTGCTAATGGTTACATGGGTTTTACTTGTTATGTTTCGCACTCTCGATACTGGGCAAATCTTAGCAGATAATAACGTTAAAAAATCACAGTACAATAGAGTAGGTGGGGTAAAAAAGCATTGTATTCGTCTATAAAGATAGCTGGGCTCAAGATAGGTAATTAAGTATTAGGTAATTCATTCCTAAAGTTCCTTAATAAGGGTGGAAAACCATTGAATGATTGCTCCTGAGGCGGGAGAGAGTGTCAGACTCTTACTGACTAAAACCACCCCGTTCCTTCTCCTGCACTTCGAGCTGAAGCCCCGGTAACCCGTTAGGTTCTCCGCGACTCCGAAAAGTATTAGGCATATAATTCTTAAAGTTGATTAAAATATATTTTATAGGAACATGTGGGTGTAACTGTGTAGGTATCTAACTACAACTTTATAAGATATTTTTCTTTTGTTATAAATATTATATCCTGTTGTAATCTTTAATATCTGCAAACTAAACATGTTTTTCTTGTTTCTGTGTATCTTCCTAGCCCGAGGGTTAACCTTTATATCGACAGTACGTCATGACATTACGATTGTACTTTCAAATACGTAAGTATTTGTTTAATTAAGAATTATGAAAAATAATTCGTTTGGAATTTCATTAACCTTTCGAAATCCATTGTATCGTTTATATGTTAAATAGCTTTTACCCGCGACTTTGTGCGCGCAATCCCACTTTCTCCCGTTCCCGTAAGATTTTCAGGATTTTTTTCTGTCATAAGAACCTTTTCCTAACAATGACAAACACAAAAAAAAAATCAGCCAAATCGGTCCAGCCGTTCTCAAGTTATGGCGTGACAACGGGAAACGGGTTTCATTATTATATATATATATAGATTCTGTGAAATGAATTGTTTTTTCAATAAGCTGACTGCATGGTTGGCCCCATAGATATAATTTAATATGTCTGTGGAGGCGCGGTAGTCGCACAACGTGTAGCGATGGGTTCGATTTCCGCACGGAGCAACACTTTATGTGATCCATAAATTGTTGTTTCGGGTCTGGGTATGATGTATATGTGAAATTGTGTATTTGTGAACTCACCCACGATACATGAGAAAATCTTAGTGTAGGGCAGCGTCTTTAAAAAAAAAACTACTTTTTACTTTATACCTACGGTAAAATGGGGTGAATGGGGATCGAGGGGCGAATAGGGACAGAAGAGGGGTGAATCGATACTATGAAGAATTTCCCAATATCTATTCACCCCTCTTCTGTCTCTATTCACCTCTCGATCCCTATTCACTTCATTTCACGGTACTAAACTTTAGAGCTTCTTTATTAAGTACTTGCTTATACGCGCGGCTTCGCTCGCGTCACAAAGGGATAAAAGTAGCCTATGTGACATATAACCAATACACACAGCGCCATCTATACCCATAATTTCGTTTTCCCTCAAGAATATCAATTTTTCCGGGATAAAAAGTACCCTATTATTTAATCCAGACTTCTAACTTCACGTCTGCAAAAATTCAAAGCAATCGGTTTAGTAGTTACGGCGTGACAGTGGAACAAACAAACTCACTTTCCGATTTATAATATTAGTAAGGATTTGCTTTAGATCTGGCTATGCTATCGATTTGTATTATTAATTAGCAATTCCGAAATAATTAACATATAAAAAGTGTGTTATTTCATACTTTCGTATGTATTCACTACGAGAATGTTTGACAAACCGATATTACTGTCACTAGGCAACAAAACGTTCGTATTAATACTTAATTCGCTTAAAAATAACTTTAAGAGTCCACTTTACAATGAAATTAGATAAATCAATGATTTCAAAGAAGTCTCTCTAACATCTAATTGGAAATCGTATAATTAGAAGTTGAGGGTACTGCCGGATTTATTAGGAGGTCCTACTGATTAATTAATAAAATGATTTTAGTCACATTTAGTGATAATTGATTTAGATAAATGTCTTATGCCGTGGTGACTTTTCCGAGTTATATGTATGTACACTTTCTAATATTATTTAGACACCAGTGACAAACGGTGAAGGAAAACGCACCCACGACACAGGAGAAAATAATAGCGTGTGACGATGTTTAAAAATTTTTAATTAAATTGAATTTTAATACTAATGTTTTGTTGTTTATTTCATGATAGTAATAAAACAAAAACCTCAATACGAGATTTAAGAACAAAATACAAGTGAAGTCAACTGGTAATGTTAGTTAATAAATAAAGCTGTTGAGCTTGCTTTATTCTTTGTACGTGACAACATCTCAGACTGGCAGACAACTTTATATTATTATTTATTTTAGTGTTATGAAACCAGTTTATATGACTTTCATAATTTATCTAAGGCTATGGTATTTTTAAACTTAGTAAGATTGTAATATGTTATAGACTCGATCTGTGTTATTTAAATAGAACTTCCCGAACTTTTTTTTACAAATAATAGGAATAAAAAAACATGATGTTACAATGTTTTCAGTATTCAATGGAATTAGGATCGTCAGTTAGGGCAACAATTAAAAATTTATGTTTTGATAAAAAATTTAATATGACATAAAATCACTACAGAGCCGCGGCTCAGAGCCGGAGCCCTGGCTCGAAGAGCAAAAGTAGGAACGGGGTGGTTTTTAGACATTAAGAGTCTGACACTCCCTCTCGCCTAAGCAGGATAAGCCATTGGATGATTTTCCACCCTCAAAAAAGAGGTTACATAATATATATTTTATTAATTTTACAAATTATCTATACATATAATAAAATTGTAGAAAAGTGCTGTCTGTACATTGAAAATAAAAATAAAAAAAATAGCAGGGGTTATTGTTATGTCGATGTCGAACCCAAAAATGTAATTAACTTTTTTTTTGTCTGTTTGTCTGTTTGTCTGTTCACGCTAATCTCCAAAAGTACTGCATGGATTTACTTTAAATTTTGCATGAATATTACTAACAGTTCGGGTCAATATATAGGCTACATATTATCACGCTATCACCTACGAGGGAGGAGCTGTGAATCACAATTCCACGCGAATGAAGTCGCGGGCAACAGCTAGTATTAATTATATTTGCCCCATTGTCATTGCTAAGTAGATTTATGGTAATCTGTGGCAACGTCGTGAGGAGTGTATTTGTTAAATCAATTATTTTACTCTCTCGTGTTATATTTAATATACTGCTGTTTGTTATCCTTGATAAATAAATAAAAGCAAATATATAATGTAACACCCACTATCACCAGCTACGAATTGATCGAAAACACTTCTGAAATTCAGTTTGTAACTATAGAACTATCTCTCTTAGATAAACTACAGGATTGATACATGAAAGCCTTGAATTTCATTGGCTATGTGCCAGGCAGTTTGTCCTTGTAACGAATATACTGAAACTAGTTTACATGGGAATAAAATAACATGTCGGTATTGTAATTCAATTTATACTGAATGATCGCAAAATTAACAATACGTTTAACCGGATTTCCAGATTACAGCGCTCTCGGATAAACCCGATCCTTTAAAACTGCAATTTCTAACCCAGCTGCTAAATATGGAGAGTCTGACAAACCTCTTTTATGTAGAGGAGGCTGATAGTCCATCAGTACATTGCTCCAGGTTGTTATTGTGTTTTAAGAAAATGAAATAGGTTTCCTAATTATTTTTTTTAATCTTATAATTTTCGTAGTAGCATGAAAACTTATAATGGTTCCCGGTTGTTGGCAATAGGATAACATAACTAAAAAAAAAATCCATTTTGTTTCTTGTTTATAAAAACTATGATTATGTTTTCTTGTTTAAAAAAAACATTATTGATTATTGTTTAATAAAGTTAATCAATTCTGTTTTTAACAGGACACGACGAGTGTGGTTGTAGGATGATTTCATTATAAGTATAATTTATTTATTATAGGTATTAAATAATCCTGGCCAATTATAGCTTGAATTAAATATTAATCAGGAATAAAGTCAAAAGTCAAAGTATTAATTTCAATTAATCTAAAATTAGGTACTTTCGAAATAAGAAATACAAAATAAATGATAGTCCGTCTGTCAGTCTGTCTGTCCATCAGTGAAGTTAGGTGCACGTTCCAAATTATAGATTCGAATGGAGAAGATCGAGCAAAGAAATTCTATTCGTTACTTTTTGAAGTAATAATATGTTTTACAATTTCTCTGATACATTATCCAATTTTGTATATATATGTGAGAACAATATAAAGACACGCTTGATGCATAATGCAAATTACAGAACTTACTAAAATAAAATAAGAAATGTTTGTTATCATCCAACATGGTGCTCACGATAATCTTATGATTTCTATTTAATTTAGTTTAGGTGGTGTGAAAATAACTAATGTATGTATATACCTATTTATGATAACAAACTATCAAGAGTACATTGATGTTAAAATTTATTTTTGTGAAACTATTACTGACAAGAAATAATTATTTATATTCGTAGGAAAATTCATTTCACTGTTTAAGTTTTGTTATATATTTATTTATTTAACTTGCAATTGCAAGAACGTGTTTTACTTACGCTTGTGTTTATGGTGCATTTACCAATTAGAGTAATAATTTTACTTTGCGAAAAATACTTCGTTTAAATCGCTTGCATTTTGAAAATGAACTTTAAAAAGTTTTTAAATAACAAACCTTTGCACACTGTTATAACCACTATATAAAAATACAATATAAAAAATACACAAGAAAAAATACAAAATACACATACCAAAAAGCACTTAGAACGTCGTACGAAGTTTACGCGGCTGGTTCGTAGCGCGTCTACGCCGTAGCAATGGTACTACGGTTTTGGTGGCTGTAGCGAGCGCGCGTAGCATTTTATCTCGTGGCACTGATCAGCCGTGACGTCACCTTTTGCTACGGATCATGGGGACGTGGGATGAAAGTACAGTCATACACATTAGGAATTTGTCTTTTGTTATAGTTTTGGTATAGTTGTGAAGAAAAGTGGAGTCAAAAATTGTTGAATTTTGAAATGGTAAAATATGAGATCACATAGAAGTAGGAATTTATTTAGCTTACAATTATTACAGTCAGTACTATAGGTTTTTATTATATTTTATTTTCCAAATATCGATAAACTTCATTAAAATTATGTTCCCAAAAGGAGGGCGCAACCTCATTTCCAATGATAAAAACCTTATTTATTTAGTATCTAGTAACTATTTTTTAAATAACACGTATTCTTTACAATATCAGAATTATTAAAAATCAAACTATTTATATATATTAATCATTTAAGTTGGAGGTCTTGTAAAAGACTTCAACGATTATGTGACCTACGGACGAAACCGTGATCAATCTATATTTTATAGTATTTAAATAACATAACATCACGCCTTTGATCCCTGAAAGGGTAGACAGAGGTGCACATTATGACATTATGCCACTATACAATGTAACACCCACTTTTCACTGTTTATGTTATGAGTCCCATGTAATACGGGGTGAGCCTATTGCCATATACAGAGCACAATTCCAGACTCCGTGCTACTACTGAGAATTTTTATAAACCTCAGTAATACTTTGCCCGACCCGGGAATCGAACCCGAGACCCCTTGCCCGGTAGTCGCACTTGCGACAGTCAGTCTTAGAGTGAGGCAGTCTTAGAGTAAATAGTGTATGGACTATTATACTCTATAGTAATTATATCCATCGTTTTTTTAAGGGAGGAAAATCATTGAATGGCTTCTCCCGTCCGGGTGAGGCGTGAGGGAGTGTTAGTTATTGATTAAAAACCAACCCCGTTTCTACTCCTGCGCATCGAACCGGAGCCCCTGCAACTCGTTAAGTCCTCGACGTGGTCTGCTAGCGGAACGCGCCATACTCTCGGGATATCCATAGTGTAGGAACCAAGACAGTTACTCATGTCCCAGGGACGCGCCGGACTTCAGTGTTCCGGTGTTTGCATGGTTGTATCTACTGTAGATCCTGGAGTACAGGAGTTGCAGCCGTTTTAGGAGCAGATAAAAAAAATCCGATGGTAAGGCCATATTCTGAAACTGTGAACTGTGAAGAACTATAGTTCACATTATTAGAATCGTATAAGTATATTACATATGTATATGTAAACATATATTCATCCTTTCAAGGGTGACAATCATAATGTTAGAAAAATCTAATTCAAAATAGTCTTTCTAACGAAATAGGTTAAAGAGATAATAAATCAAAATTGTATTCGTCATATTATGTTTTTCAATTATTTTACGTAGGTTGTTATGGGGTACACAGAGTTCGAACGTGGGTAGTTCATTCATAGTTGAACCTGGCACCTTGCCAAAGACTTGTCCTAACCTTCATATAATGCTGATCTGTTGTTAGTCACTGTATATTAAGACGAGTGGTTGTAATAACTACGACAGCCAAACAAGGGGTAAGTAAGACATGATCATCACCAGCCTATAAATGCCCACTGCTGACCAAAGTCTCTTCTCACACGAAGAAGGTTTGAGCATTAATCTTTACGCTTGCTTATTGTAGATTGTCTATTTCAAACTTATAATGAGAAATGATAAACCCAGGTTTCTTCATGATGTTTTCCTTCACCGTTTGTCATTGGTGTCAAAATAATCTTAGAAAGTACATACGAGGGCGGGTCAATAAGTCCGTGACTTTTTAAATGAAACACAATTTTTTAGATAAAAAGTTATTTTATTTTTCAACGTAGTCTCCTTTGAGCTTTATATACTTAGCCCAAAGTTTCTCCAATTTTTTAATCCCTTCCGAAAAATATGTTTTGTCGAGGTCTTTAAAATAGGCGTTTGTTTCTGAGATGACTTCGTCGTTGGTGGCAAATCTCTTTCCACCGAGCCATTTCTTTAAGTTTGGGAACAAGAAGTAGTCACAAGGGGCTAGATCGGGAGAATAGGCTGGATGAGGGAGCAATTCGTAGCCTAATTCATGGATTTTTGCCATAGAAACTGCACATGTGTGCACTCGTGCATTGTGCTGGTGGAAAAGGACTTTTTCTTGGCCAAGTGCGGTCGCTTTTCCTTCAATGCCTTATCGAATCGACCCAATAAGTTGATGTAATATTCGTCATTGATTGTTTGTCCTTTTTGAAGGTAGTTAATGTGGATAATACCGCGTGCATCCCAAAAAACAGTCGCCATGACTTTATTGGCTGACAAACCCACCTTTGCCTTCTTTGGCGCCGATTCACCCTGAGAAACCCACTGTTTTGACTGCTGTTTGGTCGCCGGTGTGTTGTGGTGGATCCACGTTTTGTCCACGGTTATGAAACGGCGCAAAAACTCGTTCATATTGCGATTGAACAACGCCAAACATTCCTGCGAAATTGTCACACACTTGCGTTTGTGGTCGATTGTGAGCAAACGCGGCACCCATCTTGCGGAAAGCTTTCTCATACCCAAATAATCGTTTAAAATTGAAACCACTGAGCTATGCGAGATGCCTATGGCTTCCACAATCTCTCTCACTTTTAATCGCCGATCGGCTAAAATCATATCGTGTAGTTTTTCAGCTGTTTCGGATGTGGAGACCTCAACTGGGCGTCCAGAACGTTCAGCATCTTCCGTGCTGGTACGGCCACATCGGAATTCAGTAAACCACTTTTTTACCATGGAAATGGATGGTGCAGAGTCCCCATAATATTTATCAAGCTTAGCCTTGGTTTCCGTAATGGATTTTTTCCGCAAAAAATAATGTTTAATGAGCACACGAAATTCACTTTTTTCCATTTTCTTCTCAGTCAACGCGGTAGTCTGATATTAACGGCTGTTAAAAACAAACTAAATGTCACAGCTTGTTCAATTTTTGACAGGAGTCATCTGACAGATGACTGTTGACGGGAGCAGTGTTGCCATTTCAATTAAAAGGCGGAAAAATCAAAAAGTCACGGACTTATTGACCCGCCCTGGTATAACTCGGAAAAGTCACATTGGAACCCCCACATTGCATGAGAAGTTGGCGGTCCTTACCTCTGGGCCACCACGACATCTACAGTTAGTAAATAAAGTTCGATTACCGGATGGGACAAAGTAATTGATTTCGAAAATCTTCAGTCACTAGCACATAATTAAGTCATAGTCTTTATTGTATCTATACCTAAGTGGCTTAGGTTTATGGCCGTTGGAAAGTAATTGGCTCAATCCCTATTTCTTCTTTTTTTTAATATTTGATGGGCTAACGTTTGCCCACTATTTCGCCTGGTGGTAAGCGATGATGCGGTCTACGATGAAGCACGTCGTTCCATAAGCAACATTTTTTCCCATTTTTTATACCACAACGGTGGCAAAAAAAATTTTCATTGGACTCGTAATCTAACTGCCCAGTCGCGGAGAATCTAACGGGTAACCAGGGCTCCAGCTCGACGTGCAGGAGAAGGAACGGCGTGGTTTTTAGTCAGTAAGAGTTTGACACTCCCTCCCGCCTCACCCAGGCGGGAGCAGACATTCGATGATTTTCCTCCCTTTAAAAAAAACTGTAACTGCCCACTATTTCTAAGATTAAAATGTATGTGTAATATTTAATATTGCTTCTTGTCTCTGGACTTACTTCATCGTTTCCAAACGATTCGCTAAGACAATGAGAAGCAATTATTGCGCCCATTTTAAGCTGTTTGCAAACATTTTATCTTACACTAGCTTCTGCCCGCGACTTCGTACGCGCAATCTCGTTTTCTCCCGTTCCCGTAAGATTTTCAGGACATTTTTCTGTCATAAGAACCTTCTACTGACAATAATAAACACAACAAAAAAAAGATCAACCAAATTGGTCTAGCCGTTCTCAAGTTATGGCGTGACAACGAGAAACGGGTTTAATTTATATACATATAGATATAGATTGACTGCCTCGTTGGCCGAGTGGTCGCAAGTGCGACTGCCGGGCAAGGGGTCTCGGGTTCGATTCCCGGCTCGGGCAAAGTAATACTGGGTTTTTAAAAATCTCAGTAGTAGCACGGAGTCTGGAAATGTGCCCGGTATATGGCAATACGCTCACCCTATTACATAGGACTCATAACATAAATAGTGAAACGTGGGTGTTACATTGTACAGTGGCATTAAGTGCCGCACCTCTGCCTACCTCTTCGGGGATAAAAAAAAGTGTGATGTTATGTTATGGTATGTATGTATATAAAGATTGATTTATAGGGACTCTCATCTGTTTTTAATTCCTACAAGTATTCATTTATTTATTTATTTATACTTTATTGCACAGTTTAGTAACACGGAGTCTGGAATTGTACTCAGTGTATGACCATAGGTTTTAATTACACGGGAGTGGGACTCACAACTCAACGTGCGACAATTGGGTATTTGTCAACTAGTCAAATTCAATCCTTTTTTCGAACTGTCAAAAACGACAGGTTTCTATGAATTTTATACGAGATTGTGTATTGTGACGTCACGTTTTTTTAGCGTCAAACAGCATACTTATTTCTTAAAAATTTGCTAAAAAATACTAAAATTGGTTGGTAAGTTGGTTATAAAATCAATTAATGAAAGTCTGATTGTTATTTTTTATATTTTGTTGTATTGAACAGTCGAAATTGTTTATTTTTGATTAAGGAAAGTATCCAATTGTATAATAATTACCTATTGATTGTATGTACTGGAATTGTGACGAAAAAAAATTAATACACAAGGGTTTAACCGCCGGGCATCGAATATTAAAATAAGTTTTCAATATTACCTTTCTCAAGATAGATTATAAAAGTAATCGAAAGACTTTGTTTTAAGTACTTGCATGGGACTTACCTGGTAGGAACTCAAAACCAACAAAACTTTTAGATTCTTTTAAGTACTTTGTGTTTCATGGTGCCTACCATGTGATTGGTCAGCTCCAGACGGTTTGATTCTATTTTTTTTTTAATTACGTTGCCTCACACTAGGATTTTCTCCTGTATCG